ATCATGTACCACAGGCTTATAATATCTCTGTCCTTGATTGTTGTTAAACTTCCCTTTATACTTTGATCGATTTCCACCATTGAAGAAATTGGATTGACCAGATTGACCATTAAATCTGTTTGTACCATACTTGACCAATCCCGAAACTACCGAGCACCGGCCAACGCTATACTGTCAAGGACCCAGAAGAGTTCCCCTCCGACCAGGAGGCCAATCATTACTCGACACGTGTCAAGATTAGAAGCCAATCAGAGCGCAGCACGTGTCGACATCAAGAACCAATCATAACATGACACATGTCAATGTGACAAAGCTACAAGTTTTTCTATAAATAGGGGTCATTCCCCCACAATATTGCCTAATGCCATTTTGGATTAAATCATTCACAAGAACTCACTAAATTGAGAGCTTGATCCTTTGTACTTGTGTAAGCCCTTCACTACTAATAAGAACTCCTCTACTCCGTGGACGTAGCCAATCTGGGTGAACCACGTACATCCTGTGTTTGCTTCTCTGTCTCTATTCATTTACGTACTTATCCTCACTAGTGACCGAAGCAACCAAGCGAAGGTCACAAAACCTGACACTTTCTGTTGTACCAAAGTCTTCGCTGATTTTGTGCATCAACAAAATCCAAAATTACCACCATTGTTGATTGTCGGAGAATGACTATGAAGACCATTTGTAGAAGAATTCCCAACAGCATAACTTTGTGATCCTTGACTATTGTTCTTGGCCATCATTGTAGACATAAAGGGCATCGAGGCATTGTTCTCAACAGTGGCTTCCTCTGCAAGTAATTGAGAACGAAACTCCTTGAGAGATATAACGTTTTCCCTTCCACGAATAACACATCTGAACGTGTTATATTCTGCAGGAATACCATTGAGAGCCAAGATCACAATATCTTCATCGGCAAAGATGACTCCTGCAGTTGCAAGAAAATCCCGTGCTGCTTTAATGCGTTGAAGATACATGGATACAGAATCAGAGCCCTTTTTTATGTTCTGAAGGTCAACTTTCATCTGAAAGATGGATGTACGACTAATAGTAGAGAATTGTTCTTGAAGCCGAATCCAAAGATCCCTTGAGCTAGTACTGCCTATGGCACAAGAAATGGCTGAGGATGACAAAGTTGCAGTAAAAAGTTGCATGAGAGCCCTATCATGCATCTTCCAAATTTTATACTCATCAGTTTCAGTTTGTGGAGTTGAAGACGCAGAGGTTAGGTCCGAATCAGGAGACCCAAATGAAGAAAACTGAGGAGGACACACATTGGTGCCATCGACGAACCCCATGATTCCATTTCCTTCAAGCATTAATTGCAACTGAAACTGCCATTGAAGATAATTGGAATCATCCAACTTCACAGTAACCGAATTAGAGACTGATGAAATCAAGTTGGTAATCGGTGATTGCAAGATTTGCAATTGATTCGCAATGATCATCTTGAGAGAATCTGAGTGAGACAAAAAATCAAACACCTGGTGTGCAAGAATTCACCAAGAACAAATCAGAGAATTGGGGCAAGAGAGAAGCCCAAAATTCCTAGAACAAGAGAAGGAGAATCAGTATGTAGAGATAGTAGCGGAAGCAGACCAAGAATCGAGAAAGCACGAACGGCTTTCAAGACAATGATACCATGTTAAGTAACAGAAGGAGAACAGAGAGATCGCAAAGGAGGAAGAAGATAACAGGAGAGGTTTAGTTAGAGAAAGAGAGAGAGAGAGAGAGAGAGAGAGAGAGAGAGAGAAATCACAATTGTATTTTCTTGATTAATTGAATGGTTACAAGGGGCAGTTGCTATATAGATGAGTCCTAAGCTAACTGCCTTAACCAACTCAATCCCTTACCAATAATCCTAACTAATTATTCTATCATTCACACTCCTCACTACCTTATGTATTTGGTTAATCACATGTGTCATGATCCACACCCTCCATATCCTATATACTCTAACACAAAGAAAGGGATGCTGCATTGCCAATTCAACACTAGAGCATATGTGGTGTCAAACAGCATAAAAGCAGCATATCATTATGCAAACAGACCAGAGGGTTCGCTGGAAAAACAATTGTAATAACAAGAAGCTGTGCAACAGTAAACAAAAGTGTGATGGGGCAAACGAAAAATATATACAGACTTGGAACAGTACCTTAACATGCATCTAGATTTTATATTTTCATATTCTTAGACAGCAATACATATTTATTGCTATACACAGAAAATTACAGAAACAAGCATTCCATTTCAAGTTGCACAAGCATGCAGTTTTCTAATAAGAGCAGAAACAACACATATTTTCTCAGTTATATTTTTCTAGAAAATTACTAGTTTTTAGACACAAGCACCTTCTCATACTGATCCTCTAAATCTGCAGGGAAGGAAACAACGGCCACCAAACTGCTAATGCAGATAAACAATTGCAGCAAAAAGCAGAATGCAAAGTTCATGCTTTGATGCACTCAGAAACAACATAGAATTGAAACAACTCAGTGTCTTCACTAGCACTTTCGCACGTTGCATCAAGGAATATCAATAAAAGGAATGGACAATAAAATTACTAAAACAAGATGACAACTCAGCTAAAAACTGCATTGTCAATTGATATCTTAAAACAAGAGAGTTGCTGTATTATTCTTCACTTAACATTTTCAATACATCACTCCCTAGATGCCCACTGGATCCATAACCACAGGAAAGACCTTGCACCACCTAGCACTTTAATTATTGAACATTCTAACATTCGTTGCAAACTCATGATTAACAATTAAAGATGCCTTTGTTGAAATTGCAAGGAATCGATTATCTAGCCTACAAATTTCCCCAAAACTTTTGTAAGGGATTCCACTTTCTTAAGTTCACCCCGAACATTTTCCTGTGGGATTTCAGTTCACTATTGAAGTTTCCTTTTTTCACAAATTTATGCCTATCACTTCCTAAACAAGACCCTTCTAATCAACTGTTTGCTTCCTTTCCTTCTAGTGGATTCGTTTCAACTCATTAGCATTGCAACATAGATCAAGGCATCCAAACTTAGTAATAACATGCAATGTCTACCAAATCGTATATGAAATTACCTACTTTGCACGTATGCATCGAAAGTTCACATGTTGGTCGAAAAATGGCACCACTTAGCGAAATATCTACGAAACCACGTGTTGGTCGAAAATGGCACCATTTCACGGGATATACATGAAACTACTCCCTTGACTAAAACTCATTAATTCACCCCATGCTCAAATTATTACTCATTAGCATATACATTCCTACATAAGCCTCTGCCGAATCAAATAACAATTTTCCAACTTCGAAACAACCAAATGTTTCATTTTACCAAGTATGCAAATTCAGCAAGATATCTCAATGTCTGCATCAATTCTCAACAACTCAATATTTTAAAAGGCAAAGGCGTGGGCGAGACATTTGGTGGATAGTCCTGCCTAGGCAAAAGCCTTGAGATGTGAGGCACGAGACCTAATATTTTAATATATATATATATGTATGTAAATATTATAGTCATAAACAAGTTTAACTCACATAATCAAGCTTAATCAAGCAATCAAATTAATCAATTTCAAACACCTACTTAAGTAAGTGATACTTATATATAAATGTACATATATATATATATATATATATATATATATATATATATATATATATATGAGAGTTCAAGGTAATATTTGGGTGTGATAGGTTGTCTTAAAAAAAGAAAAATAAGGATAAAGATAGCGATTTTTTTTTAAAAGTATAATATAACATTAAAAAAATACAAATAAAAAGATGTTTTTTTTTTCTACGGCCAATCATGAGAATATTCAGGAAATAATAAAAACAAAAACAAAAAAATGCTTATCTAATTTTATCTGGTACATGAAGAAAATAAATATTAGAAATAAAAAGTGAAAATAAAGGAGATAGTAGGGTAATAAATGTCATTAAAGTTGGGTTAGATATAATAATAATAATTAAAAAAAAAGTGAAGATAATGGGGTATAAATGTAGGGGTGCAACTTGGGCGGGTTGGGCGGGTTAGAAGGTCAACCCAATCCTAACCCAATCCTAACCCAACTTTTACAATTCGGACTCAGGTTCGGGTTGGGTTTCATTCGGGTTCATTTGGACTCGGGTTTAATTGGGTTAGGGTTTACTTGGGTTAGGTTTGGGTTGCCCAACTTTTTCAAGTTTAATCTTGTGACAACTTAGTTTCAAAGAATTCCTAAAAAAATTAAGCCAATTAGCTTCAAAGCTAGCTAACTTTAATTTTATAAATCAATCTACTATAAAGCTTTAGGATTTAGAGACAACGAATTTGATCTGACTAATCAAAGCCTCTTATTTCCTAAAAGCTTAAGCAATTATAAAGGGTAATTTATTAAAAAAAATATTAGAAAGGGCATTGGTTTTTGGACTTAGCTCACTTGGGTGTAGTAGGCATATTAATTGATATGGGTTACAATCTGGTTAGATTGGGTTTGGTTAGTCGGGTTGGGGATGGACGGGCAAATGATCAATCCAACTCAACCTAATCAATATAACAGATTGAAAATGGGTTGGGTTTGGGCTGGTTATAACTAAAAAAAAACTTACTGGTTCAAGTTTAAAGTCGGATTGGACATAGGCGGGTTCGGATTGGCCCAACCCAAGTTGCACCCCTAAATAAATGTAACAACGTGGGGTCAGTTTAAGCATTAAAAAGAAAACAAAAAGTTAAAAACACCAACTCAGCCTAATAAACCTAGCCGTCGTCTTCATCTTCTTTTCTCCTTCGCTCTTTTTCATGGCCTGCAACTCAAAATAGCTCTGCAACTCAAAAGTTTCCAGATTTTTGCAACTTAAAAAAGGAAAAATGGACGCCCAATCAATGCCTCAAGCGCGCCTCAGCCGCCTAGGCGCACCCCGAAAAGTCTAGGTGAGTATTTCGCCCACTTCTACAAAACAGAGGTGAAAATGTTGGAGCCCCACCTCCAAGGCTAGCCTTTTAAAACACTGCAGCAACTTCAAAGCACAAAAAACTATCAGGGTGTGATCTTCACACACCCTTTTAATTTTCAGCTTTTGAATCAGATGAATTGAAGAAAATCAACTAATGAAATTAACTATGAATGTGTAAGAAGTAAAATAGGGTATATGGATAGCACACGCTAAAACTATCCCATCAACAACAAAAGCTCAAACCTTTGCCCGGAATATACACGAAACCGCTCCCTTGACTAAAATTCACACCACACCAGGATTATATCTCTGCAGCAAAGCCTGATCCAACTGCTCCGTCTCCGCAATAGAATCCAAACTGTCCTCCGGCCGCAGAGGATAAGTAATAAACAGCCCATAATCCTCCGAAACCGTGCTATTCCCACACGTACAATTCACAGTCACATTCACTTTAGTATTATTGAGTATATTATTAGGATCATAGCTGTTGAACCACTCCAAGTCCTCCACCGTCGTCAAATTCGAATAGAAAATCTTCGCAATCTGGTCGTACGTGTCGCCGGTACGGACATCCCACTCGAACATTTGGCCGTGGAAGTCGCTATTGATGCAACCACAGGTGAATGGAACATTGACCCTGATGCCGAACCGGACGCTGTATATGTTGGGAACCGAGTCCTTGTTGTAGGTGACGATGGTGGCGTCGGTCGTATTCATGATATCGCCAATGAAACTGAGATTAGTGCCCTGCCATACGTAGTAAGAAGCTAGAGCATCGCAGCTCTTGCTGCACTGGGGTTTCACCGTGCAACAGAGGGAAACCAGCACCAGGAACCCTAACCCGATTCGAAATCCCATCTGGGTCGATCCGAAATCGAAAAAAACAAGTCGCAGAAACCTTTTAGGCACTGGGTTTTTGGTTACGGATCGGAGTTGTACAGGAGTTGGATGAACAGAGAGAAAGATGGAAGCTTTCAGTGGGGTTTGATTAGTTTAAATTAAAAGTTAATTAGATGAAATAATGAGTGTTTGATTGTCGTACTTGGCGTCTTTGACTTTGCTTAACACTGAAAGAGAAAACCTTCTCGCGGTTTGCAGTTAATTGTTTCTGGAGGGCGACTGACGACTGAGTCAAACGACCGTGGCAACCCTGCCCCCGAGTTCGCTGCGACGGCTACGATAAATATGAGGTTTTTACGACGCTGTGGGACTTGTGTTTTAGAGAATCCTCAAACGCATTGTCGTGTTAAACGCATTGTCGTGTTTTACGACGTTGATTATAGATTTTCTATTACCTCATATTTAGCATAATATTTTATAATATTGGCATGGTAATTGATATTAAACTGCAAAGTAAAAGAGAGTTTATGAAAAGTCTCACTTTAAGAGAATTCTCTTAACATTTCTCTCCCTTAAAATTTATGTCTCTAATCAGAGACGAAGCTAGAAATTTCTTCTAGTGAGGGCAACCCGAAAATTAACTAAGAAAACCTTATTATAGTATAGCTTATACCCAATAGATATAATAGGAATGATTTTCAAATGATGATTCATCACACTTCCAATGTTACAAAAATTTCAGTGTAGTATTGAAAAGTGGTAGAGTGATAAGAGAAATATTAATACATGATTACGCAAGAGAGGTTTTTCGGTTTGAATGACAGAAAAAATAGCACTTTTGCTTATATAGTAATTGATATGAAGTATATACAATATGAAGGTATGTTGAACATTAGATAATTATATTTTTTTTTTCAAAGATAACACGTGTATATTATATAACTATAGTTTGCAACTTAACAAACTAAATCACTTGAGTGGGGGCATATGCCCCCAATGAGCCTTCATTGGCTTCGTCCATGTCTCTAATGCTTTGACAACTCAAAACACATCCATCTCAACGTGATTAAATTTACAAACTTCAATGCAATTGTATATATGTCACATCCTGTCCCGGGCCCCCACCATATCCCGGGCTCGACTCCGTTGTAGCACGATATTGTCCGCTTTGGACCCCGACCACGCCCTCACGGTTTTGTTTCTGGGAACTCACACTAGAATTTCCCAGTATGTCACCCATTATGGGATTGCTCTCGCGCGAACTCGCTTAACTTCGGAGTTCCTACGAAACCCGAAGCCAATGAGCTCCCAAAAGGCCTCGTGCTAGGTAGAGAGGAGAATATAATAATATAAGGCTTACAAGATCCACTTCCCTGGACGATGTGGGATGTTACAATCCACCCCCTTAGAGCCCCGACGTCCTCATCGGCACACTTCCGTCCAGGGATTGACTCTGATACCAAACTGTCACATCTCGTCCCGGGCCCCCACCACATCCTGGGCTCGACTCCGCCGTAGCACGATATTGTCCACTTTGGGCCCCGACGACACCATCACGGTTTTGTTTTTAAGAACTCACACGAGGGATTGCTCTCGTAGGAACTCGCTTAACTTCGGAGTTCTTAAGGAACTCGCTTAACTTCAGAGTTCCTAAGGAACTCGAAGCCAGTAAGCTCTCAAAATGCCTCGTGCTAGGTATAAATGAGAATATACATATAAGGCTTACATGATTCACTCTCTTAAACGATGTGGGACGTTACAATATACAAATTGCAACTTATGCAGTTTAAATGAGTAAGAGCTTTTATTCATGCATCTTAGATTTTGTGCTGTGTTGAAGTTCTTTTTTTTGTTTTCAATATTGTTTGTATTTATGCACGTTACGTATCCATGATGAAATAATCACATGACAGTTACTCTATATTTATGTTTTAATGAAAAATCAACTCTCTCATCAATCATGTGAGTCCGCATGATCCCTAACAATTCTTGAAATAATAAAGAAGATTACAAGAAAAACGTGAGTATAAGTAAGGGTAGTGATATTTGCACATTCTCTTTCACTTTCACACACCCTTGTTAATTTTTTTCTTTTAAACTTTGTCAATTCATATGATCAGATGATCGAAAATTGAAAAGAAGTGTGAGAAGTAAAAATAAGTATGTGGATAGCATCATTTCCCATTTTCCATCTTACTCATTTGCTTTCCTTCAAATCCCCTTTCTGCCAACCATAATGTAGATCTCCGAATTGGTAACTAAATTCACAACTTACTCCTCCTTGCATGTTCTATTTCATGCCGAAAAATTTGGGTAAAGTATTCTACAATTTTCATTGTAGTAAGAGTGTTTTACACACCTGTTGGTGCTTCACACTCTTTTGAGTTTATTGTAGTTGCACCGATTTTTGTATTCTCTTTGCATGGAAAGTTATTAGTAAAATAAATCTAGGCAACTTATCAGTCGCAGTACTCTAAGATTTGATTTTTGTTTTCGGGTGCACATTATGTTTTTGGCTAGTACGTGGGGTTAGATGTTTATGAAATTGTGATAAGAACAACCAACCAAGGTGGCCTAACCAAACACTTGAAGATGCTCTCATAAACTATATTTAACTATGTATTTATATTGCGTATTTAACTAAAATACCCAATTCCTACTTTTGACATTTGGTTAAAGTTTTGATGGGATTTTGGGTTCAAGACAAATCTGAGTCATTTGGTGGGATTTTGGGTCCAAGACAAATCTGAGTCATGGGCCCATGGCATATGTTAAAAGTATAGGCAGCTTTTGTCGTTCATGTGATCAGATGACCGAAAATTGAAAAGAAGTGTGAGAAGTAAAAATAAGTGTGTGAATAGCACAATTTCCCATTTTCCATCTTACTCGTTTGCTTTCCTTCAAACCCCCTTTCCGCCAACCATAATGTAGATCTCCGAATTGGTAACTAAATTCACAACTTACTCCTCCTTGCATGTTCTATTTCGTGCCGAAAAATTTGGGCAAAGTATTCTACAATTTTCATTGTAGTAAGAGTGTTTTACACACCTGTTGGTGCTTCACACTCTTTTGAGTTTATTGTAGTTGCACCGATTTTTGTATTCTCTTTGCATGGAAAGTTATTAGTAAAATAAATCTAGGCGACTTATCAGTCGCAGTACTCTAAGATTTGATTTTTGTTTTCGGGTGCACATTATGTTTTTGGCTAGTACGTGGGGTTAGATGTTTATGAAATTGTGATAAGAACAACCAACCAAGGTGGCCTAACTAAACACTTGAAGATGCTCTCATAAACTATATTTAACTATGTATTTATATTGCGTATTTAACTAAAATACCCAATTCCTACTTTTGACATTTGGTTAAAGTTTTGATGGGATTTTGGGTTCAAGACAAATCTGAGTCATTTGATGGGATTTTGGGTCCAAGACAAATCTGAGTCATGGGCCCATGGCATATGTTAAAAGTATAGGCAGCTTTTTCGTTCAAGGTCAATTTTCGGTACCGCAATCGGTAAGGTTTGAAGTAATACTTTATGGAGAACGATTAGACCCGCAATCAAGTTGGATAGTTAGACCAGAAATGGTCCGCTCTACCAATTAACTTCGTCTGTATTAAAAAAATTAAATTTGTAAATTAAATGATATATCACTAATGTAAAATAAGTACGTTAATCAATATTTAAGTAATAATCTAATTATCAATATTTACATGATTTGGTTTCTCTAACATTACTCAATTTCTAATTTGCTAAAATGAAGTAAGAAAACATGCACACAACTATTGCTGTACACATACACACAATGATTAATGCAAACAAAGTTAGAGAGATTTACAATTTTTGTTTGTTTGATATGTGGATAAGTGGCTCCTCCTACTCTTTTGCTTTCAAGCAATACAAAGTTGTTGTACATTAGAGAAAAAAAAATACAAAACTTTGGTCACGCAAATTGGTCTCACAACTCTTGCAAGAGTTAAAAGCTAAGCCCTTTTGAAGTTAATAGGGATTTGGACTTGGATTGTTGCTATTGCCGTACTTCCACGTTCTGAACAAACTAATCCATTTTATGAACGTTAAGGGCGTGTTTGTTTGACCTTCTTAGGGGGGACTGGACTAGACTACACTAATTGGTATTGTAGTCTGATGTTTGGTAGGGGCAAGGATTACGTTTAATGGGATTAGATCCGACTCGCACGGATTAAACCCTTCGCTAGCAGTTCTTAGCGAACCACCCCAAAAACGTCCGGATTCGTAAGACCTCCTCCCTCACGTCGTCCTCCTCATCCTCATCTCTGCGTCCTGCTCGCCGTCAGCTGCATCCTGGTCGCCCTCATCTGCATCCTGCTCCTCATCTGTTCCTCTCGTCGTCCGCTCCCTCGTCTTCACGTAACAGATCTGCTCCGAGAGTTCTCCAAGGACAGCATTCGCCTCGTCAAGCGCTGCCACAAGCCCGATCGCAAAGGTAATTCAGCATTCGGGTCGGATCTGTGTTTTCTCACAAGTTATATTCTTTGATATGCATGTGTAATTGATGAGATTTGATGGTTGATTGTCGTGTAGAATTCTCCAAGGTCGCGCTCCGGACAGCGATCGGGTTCGTCGTGATGGGTTTCGTCGGGTTCTTCGTCAAGCTGATCTTCATCCCCATCAACAATATCATCGTTGGATCTGTTTAGGTATTTATTGGATCTAATCAAATCCATTGATTGAAAATTATTGATGGAAATTGTGGAGATTTGATTGGTTTGCTTGATCGATGTATGATTTGATTAGGTTGTTTATTAGTTGGAATTCGGATTAATTTGATTTTGGTAATTGTTGTTTGTTCAATTTTTTATAAACGAATCAAAAGTTTCGATGAGGAATGTAGTGGTTGAGTTGCATATGTATACACACACACAGACGTTTGGTTTTTTCTTCTATGCCAATATAGTTGAAATGGTTCTTTAATGTTGAGATTTTTTATCAACTTTATGTTTAGATGTGTGCATCGCTCTTGGTTTTGAGTGTTTCATTCGGATTACGTTAATGGTTTGGAACGGATAGTCTGCATCGTGATATTTGGTAGAAATGGATGTGGTGAATCTGGTGATATGATCTAAATAGGGAGATCTTCTTGAGGCACGATTGATTAGTTTGAGTTCTGGTTTTACTCTGTTGCTCTATTATTCTGCTTTATGTGTCTTAGGAAATTGATACCGAATCAAGGACGTTTAACAGAATATTGATTCATAAAATTGGTCCAAAGATCTTGTATCTTGAATTTATTCGATTCGTATGTAATAATATAAGATTACGGTGTCATTTGTGTACTGTGTGTGCAAGGTGTATACAGTGTGTGTTTTGTGTACTGTGTATGCAGTGTGTATGTATGCAGGGTGTATGCAGGGTGTATGCAGTGTGTGTATGTATGTATGCACTGTGTGTGTATTGCAGGGTGTGTGTGTAGTGTATGCAGTGTGTGTGTGTAGTGTATGTAGTGTGTGTATGTATGTACTGTGTTTGCAGTGTGTATGTATGCAGTGTGTGTGTGTAGTGTATGTAGTGTGTGTGTAGTGTATGCAGTGTATGTAGTGTGTGTATGTATGTACTGTGTTTGCAGTGTGTATGTATGCAGGGTGTATGCAGTGTGTGTGTACTTGCAGGGTGTGTGTGTAGTGTATGCAGTGTGTGTGTGTAGTGTACTGTGTTTGCAGTGTGTATGTATGCAGTGTGTGTGTGTGTAGTGTATGTATGCAGTGGTGTGTAGTGTGTATGAAGTGTATGTAGTGTGTGTAGTGTACTGTGTTTGCAGTGTGTATGTATGCAGTGTGTGTGTGTAGTGTATGTAGTGAGTGTGAGTGAGTGTGAGTGTGAGTGTGAGTGTGTGTGCAGTGTGTAAGCAGTGTGTGTGTGTGTGCAGTGTGT